ATGATAATGACATAAGTGATGATGATGATAATTACTGGCATGGTAATGATAATCCATTACTATATTTAGTGCTATGTGACCTACTTGTATTCACTATTGACAATTGTAGTTTGTGAGTTTAATGATTTTCTGGCCATATCACAGGCCTTTCTTGGCAATATTTCCAGTCATCTCATCTGGCAAGGAAAACTATGTTCAGTTTTGAAAAGGAATGGACTGTCATGACTATCTCCTTTAAGCTCACTGAATTTCAAACAAAAGGTAATTCAAAGGTCTTTAATCCTGCTCTTCTGATATTTCTTGCATTTTAGAAAAGACCTGAGGGATCTAATGAACCAACACTCAATGTCATTTCTTCTTGGAAATCTGGTTATACAGGAAAAGGAATTGTGGTGGGAGTTGTTGATGATGGAGTCGACGGCAGTCATCCTGAACTAAAAGATAACTATGTAACTATTGCTTTCTCTTTTTCAATCTCTTTTTTTTTCTTTTCAATTTGAAAATATTAATTGGACCTTTTTAGATAAATGATACTAAAAATGATGAATTTGTTTAAATGGAGAGGGACTTAACCTTTTCATCTTGATCACTGACTACTATTTATCTGTTTGTTTACTTTGCATTTTATTTCTTTAGAGATGGGATTTGAGTTACGATTATGTGGCTGGCAAACAGGTGCCGTTTGGAACACGAGTATCAGGGTAAGCTGATTATCCCTTTACAGCCTAACATCAGTATGCATATTCTCCATACTGTTCTCGATACATTTCCTGAGGTGCTGACAAGGAGAATTTGTTTAAAAAACAAGAGCTTTATTAGTTGGTGATCATTTCCTTGATTCTCGTGACCTAGATGTGGGATTCAAGGTTGATATTGTAAGGAGAAATTAAAAGCTGGTCAAGGAATACTAGGAGAGGGGAAGAGGCGAAAGAATGGCGAGTTATTTCCAGGATTAAATGCAGTTACGAAAAGTGCGCAATTTACGAAAATTAGCCAGACCATCGACGAAGTCTACGGAGTCAATTCAAGGGTTACCACGAAAGCCCCACCAAAGTTTACGAACATTACGAAATTTACGATGATAGCCGCTTCCGATGTCTCGTGGTTCAATGATCTGGTACCGAAGTAAGGGCGCGAGAACGAGGCTAAGTGCGCTCTCATAGATATGTAGAATAAAGAGCCGTGGTGATGGAAATGAGCGAAAACTTCTCGAATTCAGTGTGGGAAAGTGAAGAATTATTTGTGGAAGAGAGGTATTCAGCTAAGTGATGGCGGTAAAGGAATGGAAAAAGCAGAATTTTTCGATTTATGCAAGAAAGCTGCAGCAATTAAGCAGATCAAACTTTTAACATTTGGACGTACAGCTTCTGTAACTTTCCAGAGCTCTCGTTTGGCTTCTGCATGTAGCCTTGCCTCAGTTGCTTTGATGTCATCATTTAATCGTTGTTTTATTTCTTGCGGATTCACAAATTAACTTAAGAGATTTTGTGAGCTCAAGAATACCAATTTGACTCATATCCTCCTCCTTTAAAGACCATAAAATCTGCAAAAATTATCTGAGGTTTATGTTATGTGGTGAAGCCAAACGCTGTTGCAGAAATCGTACAACGAATGTTTTCTGGTGGTATAATAAATATGGTGGCAGTGAGAGTTCGCTGCATACTTGAAGCCAAAATTAAATGAAATTATTTTAATCCGGTCCTAATATTTTCACCCTTTTTTTCTGCAATTTCTTTAGTTGCAGTTCACTCGGGAAGGTCGTTTCCCTTCTTGTATAGGTGTATGCTTGTAGCCAATTACAAAGATTTGAGACAGTGAAACTAATGTATGATTATCTCTATTTATTTACAGACATGGTAATAAATGTGCAGGTGTCATAGCTGGAAAACGCAATAATGATTTATGTGGTGTGGGAATCGCTTATGAAGCTAATATTACAGGTATTAACTAATATTTAGAGTATAATCTAACCGTTCCTGGACTATGAAGTTGCCCTTTCCTTTAAAACCTGGGAGGACCAATTGCATACTTAGTTCCCAAAATACATGATCCAGATATCACGTTAATATCTTTTATAATGAAAATTTCCTTTGCAATCGAGAGAGCAAAGCGAACCCCTCAAACTTGTCTATATAAACAAATTGCACATCAGGGAAAATGAAAGGACCTCCCAAAAGTACCATCCTAGCTCATCTTTAATTTGATTTTAAACGAAGATTTTTATCGTTTTGGACGTAGGGTTTGAGAATTGGAAAATATATTTGGGGAATGTCATCGGATATTCACCAGGTTAAGCTCAGGTAGAAGGTAGATTCTACACTCTTGATGTTTTATTACCCGAAAAAATTTATAGAATTGAATCAAAGGGTGCAAGTAACAAGGTAAAACGTTTTCCATGCTTTTGTACTTGTATAATGCTCCTCGCGTGAAGAAAACACCGACTTTGAATCCCGTATTCTCTTGTGTCAGGCATCCGCCTTTTTGATGATGACATTAAGTCAACTGATGCAACAGAATCTGCAGCCTTGGTGCACAAGCTAGAAAGTATTGACATATACTCCAACAGCTGGGGACCTGGGGATATGGCATGGCAAATAGAGGGTCCAGGACCGCTGACCAGTGCTGCCTTAGAAAAAGGCATTCAAAAGGTATTTTATCAAGTGATTAGAGCTTTTACCATTGAATAACGTCAGCCCATTCAGCTCACCACATATTTCATCTTTTATCCATAATCGTCCCAGCTTTATCACCTTTTTATTTTTTGGCCCCAATCATTGTTCTCCTTGCCAACTTTACTACAATTAGGCACGCCATCATTGTCGCTGACAAACAAACACCATCATTGTGACCATTATCTTCATTGCCGTTGAAATTTTTATTAAGAGAGCGGTCTGAGTGCGATCGCCTTCTTTCAACAATATATGAACGACGAAGAAAGTGGACATCCTTAGCATTTGGACCTGGTGTTGGGTTTTTATCCAAGGTTTTTGCCAATATTGATGGCTTGTTACGCGTTGTATACGCGTTGTATACGCGTTGTATATGAGTTTCTTCCGTGTAAATAGTCAACGATGTATTAGTGGCTAATATATTTATACCATTTGTTTAAACCAAGGGTCGTGATAAACGAGGTGCCATCTACACGTTTGCAGCTGGAAATGGCGGTATGACGGGAGACAGCTGTGCATACAATGGTTATGTGAATAGTATTTACACCATCGCCATCAACGGTGTGAATAAAGATGGATCCCGTCCCAGCTACGCAGAAGAATGTCCTGGAATCATGGCCACCACGTACAGTAGTGACATGGGTGGAGGAATTGTAAGTGGAATGAGTCCATACAATTTGTAACCCAAAAATAGATGAAAGGAAAGAGAAACAGCGAAGGCGACGTTTGAATGTCGTTAAGACTGTGAAACCTTTAAGTTAGATCTTTTTTTTATTGCAAGTCTATAGTAAGTTTCGTTTCTTTTTATCAATTTTCCTGTACCTTTGGTGTTTGGATTTTGAAATGAGCGGAGTGACCACAAATACTCGTGACGTCGGTTACATTCCGTTCAGTCGAGAATATGAACGATGTCATCAGACCTATGTACTAAACTCTTGGCCTTACGCGAAATTTTCCAACTTAAGTTAAACCTTATCTCCGAGTTAATTATTTCTCTCATTCTCTCTAACCCTCTGCTTGCTAATTTATGAAAATTTCGTAAATCATCCAGGTAACTGTTGATAACGCAAACGGTTGTGTCAGCGATTTCACAGCTTCGTCAGCGGCTACTGCCATTGCATCAGGACTGATTGCACTGACCCTACATGCAAAGTAAGATTGTTATGTCTTAGAGTTAATATTCATAAGTAAGGAGAGGCGGGTCGCACAGAATGAACACACCCCTCTCGTAGTTAAGTCAAAAGTTAGCTTGGGCATGTGTCGGAGTGAATCTAGGGTGAAATTTACCGGTTTTTTGAGGAGGAATGTGACCTCCTCTTTGTCAAGAAAACTAACCAAGACTCATAGTGCCGCTTTAACTCCTCCAACGCCTTTCGCTGGTTGGTTCTGCCGCCTTAAAACGTATGCAGTGAAAACCACCATTCACAACACTTAACAGGAAGCGCGAAACCAAAGGTGAAAAACAGCTTGTAGTGTACTCAGGGTATGCACGTGCATATGTTCCTGGAGCTCAAGGTGTGTGAATTATTCTTGATGCTGTTAAAGAATCCCTTACTGCTCACTCTTTATCCGTGTGGAAGGGTAAGTGAAACGACCCCTCTATGAGTGGGCGCTAATCGAGGGGATTGAGACGACTTCCACTCGCGTAAATTCGAGGAATTTCTGCTGAAGTTAAAGGTTATTAAAATCAATCCGAAGATAAGAATTCTTAATCTTGTTTCCTCTTCCAGCCCTAACTTAACGTGGCGTGACGTCCAACACATCATAGCCAACAGTGCAAGAGCAGCGCCTGGTGAAGTCTGGCTCAAACAAGGCCATTGGCTGCAAAACAAAGCAGGGTTTCATATTAGCAAGGTTTATGGCTTTGGGCTTATGGACGCTGGCAAGATGGTGATGTTAGCAAGTAAATGGAAGAAGGTTCCAGAGCAGATAAAATGCGAGATCGAAGGCAGTGACAAAGACATGTGAGTGGCAATTTTCTCGTTACTTCCCTAATGTTTTTTTCGATTTTCCTTTTCGGAAGCAGAAACTTACATTTTAAAGTGTGTAACCTATAGGTCTGAATAAACGAGAAATATCGATCTTATTCTGAAAGTTGAGATTTTTGAAAAATAGTTCAATGAGGCTTACCCGTCCTTTCGTTTCAGTGAGCAATTATTTCCTCAAATCTCCTAAGTGAAAACACTCTCGCCCTTTTTAGTACCCCGTGTCAATCTTCAAAACTGTTACCAGACGTTTGCTTATATGGCGGTTATTGTAAAATTTGCGTTCAGCACCCTCCCAAATTCTCCTAAATTGGTGGTGGGCTTTTGAGCGACAAGGCGGCCATTTTAATTAAATATGAAAGGAAGCATTGTTATTGACGGCGATTGACCTAGTCTCTTTGCAATTCTTCGTTTCAGAAAAATCCCAGGAACAGTTTCAATAGAAGTGAAAGATTGTGCTATCAAATTCCTGGAGCACGTGCAGATCAGAGTCAATCTTAATTTCTCTCGCCGTGGCGACTTGTCCCTGCAGCTGAGAGCACCGAGTGGCACAACATCTCCAATGACTGGAAAGCGGTACATAGACAACTTAACAGGATTCAGAAACTTGACTGACTGGATTATTACATCTCTTTTTCACTGGGAAGAAGACCCGACTGGCAGATGGGAGCTTAAAATTGATGATTTTGACAAGCGATATCCAAGTTCAGGTGATCTATCATGACTTTCTTTAAAAGTTTTGAGTTATTGTGTGTTTGTTGGTGGTTTTGTTTTTGTTCTTATTTTTACTCAATCCTCAGAAATGTTAGATCGAACTTCGTGTGTTAGTATTACGTCAAATGCTCTCTTTAATTTGCTGCCTGGAAATTTAGGCCGGCCGAAACTACGTACTTTCAAGCTGAGCACATCTTTCCTCATCGTGATGGGGAGGTGGAACGCTGAGCATTTCTTTTGCTCATTCATATGTTTATTTTATTCAATGCTACTTTTCCACACTAGGGACCGTAAATTTTGAGCCTTTTCTTACGGTATTAGATGAAGCAAATCTTTCACATGCTCAGATTCAGCAATTCAGCTTTTATTGGGATACCGTTTTCGTAACAGCTGAATTGTTAATTTTTTGCGTTCGCTTGGCATGTTTCCGTGTTTATTCCACAGGTCAACTTCACGGCTGGTCCTTGATATTGTATGGCACTTCTTCAGACCCACTTACATCAGAACTAAGGAGCGAAATAGATTCGACACGTGTTATATCTACTGAGAAACCCAAATATTCAACGAAACCAATGAGAACAGTCACCCCAACTGAACAACCCTCGTCAACAGCCAAAACAAACAAAGGTATGTCAACTTAAATTTTGCCGCGCTAAAAACTTAAGTTTTAGATAAACGACTTAAACTCGCTAATCAATCAGTTCACGATTGAGGGAAAGTTGCCCTTAGGCCTCATTGGAGTCGCATGGCCGGGGTTTCGTCGCATTTATATACCTTCTCCTCAAAAACAGTTTCATAGAATTTAAAAAAAAAAATTCATACATGTACATCCATCCTCAGAGAAAGAGCCAAATCAGAAGCTAAAAGCTCAAACTTCAAGACTACCAAATAAAAACACGAAAAATGGCTTGACCTCTGTGATGGAGCTGTAATTTTATCGGTGCCCGTGGGGGAGGGGGGTAAAGCAAAGGAAGAGCCTCAGAGAAGGGTAGAGTCTCTTGGAATAATGGAGCCTCAATCAGAGAAAGCTTTTTGTTTTACTCTTTAAAATAAACACTTTATACAGAAATAATTAAAAAGTATGTACTTGAGTTGTCGTCAACTTTATATTGAGCATACCAAGACTTTTGGGGGAGCTCAATTGGAAAAATTTCTTTAGATGAGGCAAATAGATTGTGATACATAAACATTTACTCTACTGGGTAATCAAGGAATCAATGAGTTGATGCTTGACGAGATTTTTTTGTTGTTTTTCAATTGTTCATTTATTAATCATCAAGTATTGGCAATACCCGGTAAATACTCATCTGATGACTTATTGATTATACAGGGATCTCATTCATCGTTGATTAATTTTTTTCTTGGTTATGATACATCCAATTTTGAAAAAAAAAAAAGCCTGTTGAAATCTAGGAGGCTTAATGGTAATGTTGATACTGGCTGTAACCCTTTTTGTTGTTTTTCTTTGATTTTCACAGCATCATGGAAGAAAATTGTGATACCCATCGTTTTGAGTGTACCTGCGATATTAATACCCTTTGCTGTGTATTATTATTGTCGATTCTACAAAAAACAAGATAACAACGCTGTAACCGTGCAGCAAGGATCAGTGCATCTTAAAAGGCCAAGGGGAGATAAAAAAAACTGAACCTTTGAGCTGCAACGTCTAAGTTAGATCAGTGTCGAGGCTCCTCCCCAGTGCCGAAATGGCTTAAACTTAGGCTACCGAGACTCCCAGTAATTGGAACATGCTGTTTTTAGAGAAGTAAAACTGAAGTAATATATTACATAAATGTACATAGCTCAGCCTGAAACGTTTATGGAAACTCAGTTCATAAAAGTTGGGTTTGGTAAATTTTTTGGAATCACTGTGCATATCACATCAGTTGTGACGATGGAATTTTGTTCAAAGTTGTATTTGGTAAATTGTATTTGGAATCACTGTGCATATCACATTAGTTGTGAAGATGGAATTTTATTCAAAGTTGTATTTGATAAATTGTGTTTGGAATCACTGTGCATATCACATTAGTTGTGACGAAGGAATTTTGTGGCCTGAGGAGAAACGCTGTTACAACGCTCTCTTTAATCTATTCCAAATGGCCGCAGCGTTTTCTTGAAAAGCTCATTACATTTTAAGAACATTAAAAGCAGCACTTTGGAAGAAATTGATAGGGTGCCAAGACACAAAATATACTGTTAAAACGTGATTTCCTCATTAGTTAACTTAAAGGTTGAGTTACATTTATTTAGAGTTTACAACTTAATTTTTTTCTTTCCAGTTTAATAAATGTCTTGTAAACTGCGTTAAACGTGGATATAGTTGTTAATTATAAGGAAAAACTAGAAATAAATTGCATTTTATTGACATCTCTAGCGAGCAATAATCAGTAGTTGGCTGACGTTTTGTGCTTCAGAGTGCTGCATTGAAGAGGAGCGCTTTGTCTGTAAGGACCAAGAAGTTTGGTTCGAATGCTGATCATGAATGTGAAAGGGGATCAAAGGTAGGATCTTCCTCACTCCCTTCCGCTCATCTCTCAACCCCTCTATCCCTCACAAATTTATTTTTGTTATCCTGGCGGCTCACAGTGTGAGCCTAGTGTGGAAGTAATTCTCCGATCAGGCGTGAGATGATTAGAAGACCGAAACTCTCCATTTTGAGTAAATGTCTCCTCTTTAACCCGTTTACACCCTAACATCAGTATCCACATTCTCCATACTGTTCTGCATATGTTTCTTTTGGTACTGACAAGGAGAATTCGTTTGAAGATCAAAGCCTCTTAGGTAGGCGATCATTTCCTTTATTTTCATAATCGAAGTGAATGGTTTAGCAATAATATATAGATTTAGCCAAGCCTAAAGCGGACCTCGCATTTTTTTCCCGCACGTCTTATGGGCACAACGCCTTACCCCGGCCAGGACTAGAAACTGGGTCGTCGGACTCGGAGCCCTGTGCACTGACCACTGGACTACTGGACAAAGCCGTGGCGTTGCCGTGCCCGCGGTACAGTTGACCACGCATGTTAAAAGTAGCACCTTGTGCGGTCGTACGGTCGTACGGTCATACATCCAAATTTTTTTGGCTTGATGGGTTACTACTATTTTGTATAACTATGGGGCTACGCTCTGCGAGCTCCGCTATTACTGTAAGGAGAAATTAGATGCTGGTCACCCTTGGGGTTTAAACGGTTAAACAAATTAACCCTGTAACTCGCAGAGGCGATTAACATGTAACATCTCCCTAGAATATCCATACGTTATCCAGCAAAAAGGTAATGAGAATTTATCTTGATCTAACACTAAATTCCTGTAACTACTAGCACTCCACATTATGAACTCAGTTAATAAAACTAAATTATCTTATTTACACAGAAATGTGTAGAAGCTGCGGGGGAGAATTAACAATCAAAGTGTTTTCAGTGCTCAAAATTGACAGATTTATTGAAAGAACCGAGAGGAATACGGGAAAATGCCGACACTTCAAGAGATTGACTTTGTGCGCATGACATCGTGAAGTTACGTTTCATCAGAAATTAATTCCGATTAATGACTTCATTCTTTGTGTTTACTGGCGTCCATCGCATTAGATGTCCTAACTCTCCAAATTGTCTTATTTAGCAACTAATATCCTTTTTCACTGACATAGAGTTCGATATTTAGTTGGAGTTACCTTCACTATGGCCATCAGCCGCCTAAATCCATGGGGCACAGTCCCAGACCCAATACCGATCTCCCATACGATCAAACCCAGCGCAAAACAATTGAGGAAATCGTGGTTTTTATGAGTTGTTGTTTTCCGTTTTTTTAAACTGTACAACATTAGCAGAGCACGGTATAACACAAACGGAATTTAGAAAAATTAAGGAGATGAAGAAATAAACAATATTAGTGACACAGGATGCTACTCTAAGAGCCTTTTTACATGGAGGTGGGAGACCCCAGGTAGGTGAGGTAACCCGCCTAGCCGTGGTCGAAAAATAAAACGCGTTTACATGCAATCTTACAACCCCGGGCTGCTGAGGTGAGGTTTCTTGAGGTTGTTGTTGCGCTTGCAATTAGGGAGTTTGAACACAAGCGTCGCAAGCTCATATCTCGAGAAAGACGAAAGATTAATTCTCTGACATGTATGTATTTATTCATGAAAGCGTCACGCGTTGTGTTACGCGGTGTTAGGTTACGAGAGGAATCTTAGACTTAATACGTTTGAAGAAATAGTTGGGGAAACGAAATATGGTCGATTTACAAAGCTGAATATTCCGAAATGTGAACATTTTACACTCCTTGTGTGTCCGAGACGGCTAGGAGCTTTTTGCCATGAATGCGACCCCCGATAGGCGGGTCACCCCACATTGAGACGTTTACATGGCAAATTGTCACCCCGGCTGACAGGGTTACCCTACCTGGCAGACCGTGCAACCCGCCTTGGCGGGTTACCCCACTTATCATGAAGACGTGATCAAGATAAAATGAGAGATTATACGAAAAGGCGATCTGGGGTCCCCCACCTCCAGGTAAACAGGCCCTAAGGATTCATTCAGTTTTAAGAATTATATTTCACGAACTAATACGGTCATCATATTGTATCTATCTATTGGAGGAGCATGAATATTTTTGGAACAACACAAATTATATATCATAAAATATCTAACTTAGTCTTTTAATTATCTAGTCAGGTTGCATTAACCTGATTGCTTCCCAAGAGTAAGGGGAGAAATTGAATTACAGTGTAGCGTGACAGGGAAGAAGCTGGCTGGTTACAACAGATTTGACCATATCCACATTGAATGCAAACGACCAGTTTTGAGCAAAATTGGAAATTATAACCCCCTTAGCTTCCTTCAACCTGGCGGAGAGTTTGATGTTTCGATGGATCGAAATTATCCAATCGCAAATAAGACGACAATCACCCAATAGGCTACTCGGAAAAAGGACGAATCCCATTACGAGTAAATGTCAACATGCTTACCAATTGAAAGAAAAACAAGTTGAAGTGTTTGATAGGTAGTGTAGATATGGAGCAAATTAGTTGTTGCGTAAAAGTCGTCTTCAAAGGAAATCAAAGGGAAGGTATAGGAGCGTCGAAGTTGAAGAAGGTGGATTGTTATATTGCTGATGAAACGTGCCTTTTGAAATTAACCCTGTGGGAAGGATACATCGACATGGTATCCGTTGGAGAAGTTTACACATTCAAACATCTCAGAATACGGGAGAACGACGGCGAAGAAAACGGACGAATTCTCAATACTACCTTACACCCTATCCAAACTGTCATAACACAGGCGGAGAATTTAAGCGGGGAACGAAGATGTGCTTTTAATGACGTTGCATTGCTAGAAGCTGATGGCGAAAACCATCAATATATGGAACCGAACATTGATAACATCGATTCCATTGAGGAACTTTCGCATTTTAAACAACGCTCTAAGTGTCAGAAAAAAAATTCATCAAGATAATTCAAGTCTTATCACAAAATGTGATCATTGCGGTAGTACTTTCAGTAGCTCCTCTTGTGAAATTGTGACTTTAGCTAAGTTTCTTGTCCGGAATGAGTAAGGAGGCAGTGACAAAACCGAAAAATTTAGTCGTTTTACGGTGTTTAAAGATGTATTAGAAAAAATGATCGGTTC